TACATGCCAAAAACTGAGGTGTACATGCAATGTTGTCTGCAATTTATTTTCAAATGAAAATAAGTATGTGTGTGCAAACAAGAAAAATGTGTGTGTACGCATGTGATGTGTATATGTATGTATTTAGAAAAAGAGGCAGAGTGGATAAACATATATGGCAAACTATTAACTGGTCAATCTAGGTGGAGAATATACATCATGTTCACTGTACCATTCTTACGACTTTTTCATATATGAAAAATTTCATAATAAAACGTTAACTAACACCTAAACTAAGTAGGGAGTAAATGACAATCTGAAATATGATAAGCACAGAGGCCTGGGCCAACAAAAGACAGTAACAACCTAAGAACACAGAAGAATGCGACACAAAAAGAGTAGTGCATAATTAACTTATTAAATTTTAAGCCCTATTTGCTCATCATACACGTTGAAGGGATATGGTGCAAAACCTTATTTATGAAACACATGTTAAATTTTTCTTAAGTAAGTATGCAGCAGTGATAGGTGTTCTGAGGTTATGAAGGAGAAAGGACAGAAGCAACATTAACTGAGTTACCTCTGAACTCCAGGCACTAAATCTTCACACCAACCCTATGAAGTGAGTGATGGTATCATTTGTATTTTGCTGATAAGAAGAATCAGATATTGTCCCTGTTTCCAAAAGTGTATAGTTCAATTGAAAAGATGCGTTTATAAATGGTTCCGTTAGAATGTAGCATGTTACAATGAGATATTCACGGCTTAGATGCTACTGGAACTAAGAGGACGCAAATAATTATTTTTTGAGTCCTTACTATGGGCATAAAGGAAGAAACAATCATTTTCTGAATAGAATTATCAAGGAAACTTTGATGATATACAGGCATGGTGTCGCAGAACAAAAGGGTTTTTATCAAGTGGGAATGTAAGGTGAGGCACTTCAGTATAAGCAAAGGCGCTTGAGATGAAAAAATTCAATATCTATTTTGGGGATATGATCAAGTATTTGGTTGCAATAAATCTGTTAATAGTAACTGAAAAAATAAAACAAAACATTTTGAGAGCAGACCACAAAGACACTGGAATTCCTATCTAAGGAAGTTTAGTATATGGCACCATTATCTGTTTTTTAAGAAGTAGATACAGACAATCTTTTAAGTAAATATATGTGGGTATAGTCTGCAGGAAAAAAGTAGGAAGATAGTCTAGTTTACTGGTCAAAAGACTAGCAAATTGACAGACTGCTGTAACCAAGCCATGCTACTCTCTAAACTGAGGCAGTAAGCTATCTGTGCCCCTCACCCTACCTACCGTCTACCCAACCTAGAAAGATTTTTGCATCCCAGTTTTTTGGATCATTTTAACTCCATTGTGAATTATACATAAGCCCGGGTATCTTTTGCTTACTTAGGCATAAAGAATTTAAACAGTGTACTAGAAAGGTGTTTCATACCTAAAAACAATTTAAACAAAGTTTTTGTTATATTATTAGAATATTATGATAATGGAACATTTATCCAGTTGCCAATATATTCTCAGGATTATGTGAGTATAAAAAAAAATCCCCGCCAAATGATATGACTGATTTCTCAAGTGGAGTTCCTCATCTATTGCACAGAGTGACTACTCAATTCTTCTAAGGATTGTACACAATAGCAATAATTAAATCAATGCATACAATGGATGTCTTAGGGTATTAGGGCTTAATTATTTCCTGGAATCCCAGTTTAAAAAGGGTGTAAAATGAATTAAGATTATTTGATTGTTTCAATAAATTTATCAGATTAAGAAATAACTGAAAACTTTTTGTAGAATGATTATGTATAGAGAGCACCTTGAGTGAAGATATATTAGAAAAGCCCTAAAGAAATTTATGCACTAGTTTCTATTTACTCATTTCTCTAATCAAAAGTTACTCCATTATTAGATCATTTCTATGTCTGCCTATCCTTATTTTCCCTAAAAATTGGTTTAATTATTTTTTTACCACCTTTTAATACTCTGCTGCTAGACAACCTTCCTAAAATATCCATATTATATATTATCATATTATCATTATCATATTATCATATATTATCATCCTCTTACTTACTTAAAATAATAAAGAATAAATGACAGACAAGCAAGTAAATGTAAAGCCCTATAATATCTCACCATGGCAGCTTAGAAAAGTGGAAAGTACAAGGGCTTTGGGGGAGTAAACTGGGGGAGGGGAGGTACATGGGCTTTTAAGTCACCTGGATACATATACACACTGTGCCCTAGAAAGAGTTATCTAATATTTCTAAGTCACAGTTTCCAAGTCTTTAATAAAGAGGTTTATACCTTTCTCAGTTTTTAATGTGATATTTATGAACATCTTAGCACAAAACCTAGAAAGCCTGTTAGTTAATACTGAAGAACTTCCTAGCATGCTTTCTTGAGTCTTGCTTCCTCCTTCCTTTTCACGTTTGGCTTGATCTTCAGCCTCAACCAAACATATCTCTTCATTGCTCTTCGATAATTCATGCTCATCTTTCACCCTAAGATTTTATTTTGCTATTTCTTTTTCTTGGAATGCTGTTTTCCTCCTATTCACCTACCTAAACTCTATCCACGCTTCATGATCTAGAAGAGTTAGACCCAATTCTTTCATTAGATCTTCAATTCTACCACTTCATACTGATTTTGATTCTTCTTTGAAAAAGTCTAGATTTACTGTCTATATTAATTTTTTGATATTTTATCATTAAAATTTTAGAGAAGGTAAGACTAGTGTTCTCATTAACATGCTATTTATTTTAACTCTGGCAGCAATATAAAAACAGAGCATTTTTCTACCTTAAAGACTAACCAAACTGAGGAACAAACTGATGAGTCTCTAAAGGCAAAACATTTGCTGAATATATATATTCTTATATTTTGACAAATTCTGTTCTTTTAATAGATACCCTAGCACTATGCTTAATAAGTATTGTGCAAGTAGTAGATATTAGGTAAATATATGATTAATCAAATGGTATAAATTACATGAATTTCTTCAAAGAACACAAAAAACTATCATAAGACTCAATCTTCAATTCATTTTTATGTAATAAGAAAGTACTATAATTTCCAGTTACATTTGACCAGTGAACTCAGGTTATAGCTGCATATACAAAATGAACTGATAAACAAAAGAATCCACACAGAATATTTAAGATTTTTTAAATTCTAGAAATAATTCAATAATTAAGGGAAATTCTATTTTTATATGAATATAAATATCTGTGTATATACCAACAAAAATATTTTCATCTATCAAAGACAATCAGTAAAGAAACTGAAAATCATACACATTTTCAGTTAAGATCCCAGATAATTTTTCCCCATCTTTGCTATATAAATCTAACAGGCATTAGATTTATTTGATTTTCATAAGTCAGCCACTTCAAAAAAGTTACATTGCTGAATTAAGAAAATGGCCAATTCACAATTCATTATATATATTTAAAAGGCATTAAATATGGAGGCCAATATGGGTCCTAGAAGAATATTCCAGATATTGCAAGAGATAATAATGCTTAGTCCCACACTTTCTAAAATCAGTGCTTCTCAAACTTTTCTACTTAAACAGTCCCTCTTGACAAAATATCCTAATAAAGGCTGAGAAGGAAAATATATCCCCAGGAGTAGAAAAGTATAACCCAAAAATACTCCACAATTCTAAATTTCTTATGCTTCATCTTAAAAATTCATGCTCTTAAGCATATTTATTCTATGCTTTTTTACATACCTCCTGATACATAATCACGTACTCTCAGTGATACATGTGACCCAGACTGAGATGCCCTGACTTAAGTCAATGTTTGCCTATCTGAAAAATATTTTCCTAGATTATGATACTGGAGCAATTTCATTTTATAATGGCTGGGGCACACAGTAATGAAAACTATCTGATATTTGTTGAGTACAGTATGCAAAAGGCATTAAATTAGATTTTTACATATAAAAAATATCAACTTTCAGAATGTAAATATTGTCATGCCCACTATAATGAAGGAACTGAGGCACAAAAAGATTAAAATAGCTATCCCCTGGCAATACATCAAATAAGTTTGTCTACTTTGTACCTAGTTCTCTACTACATCACTACTTCATCAATATTTTATTTTCACAGAAATCTCCTACTCTAGCCTGTGTTTTTACCTTACTTTTCAAGAATTTAACAGAGGTACACTGTGACCAGCCCAACAGCCACTATAGTCTAAAAAGAAACTCTTCACTTCCGCTAGAGCTATAAGACTAATCAACAATGTGGGATGTTAAGACTATTTATATTTAAAAAGACTCCAAAATCTAGCCACTAAATTGAGCGAATTCTTAGGTCCTAGTAAACTAAGAATTGTAAATAGGATAGGATATAAATTTCATACACAAATCGTACATTTAATCCAAAAGAGCAGCATGAGGTGACAGAGAGAATACAGAACCAGAAGTTACATAGCAAATCCTAATTCTCAGCAGCTTCCACCACCAGTTGCATGACCCTAAGTCATATGCCTCTCTAGGACTTAAGTTTACCATATGAAGGTATGTGCTAGCAGATTTTTAAGTTTCCCTCCATTCAAAAGGTTTTGTATCTTTATAATTTTGCTGCCCATTCATTTCTATTTCTACACTTAAATTTCTATTACTCTCAACTAGTACCTTTTTATTAGCACATCTCAAAGTAATTAATTTTTTAATTTGCACTTCTATATACTCAACTATCAGTCTTGTTCCTTTCTTCTTAAAATACTCCCTTAGTCCTTGCTTTGGAACCACTTTCATTTTACAATCACATATTGAACACAACAAAATTACTCAATAAAAGCTGCTACCTAATAGTAAGCTCACTCTGAGCTCTACTGTCAAAATGTTTATGATGTCAGCTACTACTTCAGTATATTTGTTTTCTATGTTTGGTGATTTGACATTTGTACTTAAGCTTAAATTATATAGTTTTTAATGCAAATACTTAAATATATTAAAAGTCATAGGTAAACTATGCTACTAACCGTATTCCAGTTTGATTTGCAATTTGCTTTTCTAATTTCTGTAGTTCCGACGTATAAGCCATTATTCGTGCATTGCACACCAGGAGATTTTTAACTGCGTGTAAAATCTGGTCTTTTTGAGTACTCAGAGAAAGGAGTTTCCATATTGCTTCTTGCATTCGAATTTCTAAGTCTATTTTTTCTTGAATGCTGCAGTCCTAAAAGGAAAAGAGAGAAAAGCATTTTAAAAGTGTAGCAAAAATCCAAATTACAACATTTCCTTTTATCCCTAGTAAACAGAAAATGTTCTGGCTATCATTACAATTTTATACCATACTAGAAAAGCAAGACAGTTTTAATATATGATGGTATAAAAATTATAGCTTTTTAAAATGCTGTTTGCAAAAATCTTAATTTCATGCTATTAGGAAGTCTTTACAATCTACTGGATAAACAGAACAGAAACAAAGGTAAGAAACATTTTGCTCTTACCATAACTGCACTAGTTTCAATAGTATCCCCCCAAATTCAGAACCTCAGAATGTAACTTTATTTGGGTACAGCGTTTTGCAGATGCAATTAGGTAAAATGAGGACATATTAGAGTGGGCCATAAATCCAACCACTGGTGTCCTTAAAAGAAGGTCACATGAAGATACAGAGACACACATACAGAGAAAACAGCATGTGAAGATAAAGGTTGAAGTGATAAGTCTAAAATTCCAGGAATACCAAGGATTGATGGCAATAACCAGAAGCTGGAAAAGGTAAGGAAGGATTCTTCCCTGGGGCCTTCAGAGGGAGCATGGTCCTGCCAATACCTTGATTTCATACATCTGGCTCCAGAACTATGAAAGAATAAGTATCTGTTGTTTTAAGCCACCCAGTCGTGGTCATTTGTTACAGCAGCCTTAGGAAACGTATAATAATTAATGTGAAAAATATTCCACACATGTATATTATATTAAAATATAAGTTATATTATGGGATGGCAAGATGAGGTTGATGACACTGAATTAACCAAGGAAAAATTTCTGAAACAGCAGATGCTGAGTAAAGGAACAAAGGTTTAGCAGCAGGGGCATAACAGGCTATTTTTCATGGTAAACAGTGTAAATAAAATCTCAGAAGCAAGACAGTGAAAGCACTGTACTCAGAAAATGTCAGAGGACTTAGCTACCTAAAACAGAGATTTAGAATATAGTTCTGGACATATTATTTATTTTAGTTTTAAGATTCACCATCAAACTACTGATTAGTTCTGAAGGTCTTTTATTCCATATAATGATCATATAATGTAATGGCCTGCTTCTATATATAAGTTTCATATGTAACATTAAAATTCTACAAACTGAGCAGTTCTGGTTTAATTTACAGTGACTTTGTAAAAGTTATAAATCACTGAATACTCTTTACTGTACTACAACCATGTAATAATGTTTCTAGAATGTCTATTTTTAAAAGTATGAGTGACCATCCTAGCTTCTGTGGTAAGAAATGAACAGGTTAATTTACCTTCTATTGGGATCAGAATATAAATAAAAAGTGAATGGAATCTAATAACAAAGTCTTAGATATTAAAATGACAATCTTTTCGAAAAGAAAAGAAGATGAAAGTTAGGAGAATAGTCTTTGAAGATTACCCAAAAACAGAAAATGCACTAAATGATTTAACTTGACTATCCGAATCAATCAACTGTACTATTCACACACAGAAAACAGATCTGTTTAATTACCTTCTGTAATTACATCATGTAATCACCACATAAAAACCTTGTCTTATGGTGTTGTAACTCAAAACTGGCATACTATATAAACGTAGTCATTTGCTGGTTTTCCTTCTTTACACATGACTGAATTTCAACAACTCCATTTTATCTTTTTATGACTTGTCAGCCCCAAAGTAAATTCTTCCTTAATGTAATTAGCAATTAATTATAAGAATTATCTATGTGACCCATATGTCTATAGAAATAAACTCTGGCAGACTGGTTAGTATTGGAGAATGCACACAGAGCAACTTAAAGCTGGTAGCTTTACCCCACAACTCAAATATAAACAAATACCATCTGGTGCCACTAAATTCAATTTTGCTTTTTGAATGCTGCAATGAGGCCTCCAGTTGATCGAGCACAGTGGTTCTCAACGCTGGCTGCACATTAGAATCATCTGAGGTAGAGAGGAAGGGCCTTATAAAAGTACCTAAACTAGTGATCTACCCTAAACAAATTAGAATCTCTTGAGGTGGTGCTTGAGCATTAAGTTTCTCTGATTATTCTATGTATAGCTAGGGTAGAGAAGCATTGCAAGACTGAAATTCCACAGCAATCTTGAAAGTTGCAACAACCTGAAGGAACCAGCAGGTGGCCACAGCCACATTAAAGAATGAGTTTGGGCTTCCATTCTATATGAAGATTATGTTCTCTCCGTCACTTGCCAGTGAGGGACTCCATAAAATTACACAGGCTTATGAAATGGTGGAGAAAGGAAATGTAAAGTCAGGGTTTAAAAAAACTTACGTTTATAAAGTTTAAAGATGGTGCAAGTTTAAATTAATATTCATTAAGAAAACAAGGTATATCTAACAGATACTACTATTAGAATTTTATCCTTTAGAGCAGGGGTCAGCTAACTATGTCCTGGCTGGCACCTGTTTTTGTAAATAAAGTAGTACTGGAGCACAGCCACACCCATTTGTATTGTCTACGGCTACTTTCAAGCTACAATACAATGGCAATTGAGCAATTTCAACAGAGACTGAGTGGCCCACAAAGCTGAAAATATTTACTGTCTGGCCCTTTCCAGAATAGTTTGCTGACCCCCTAACCCAGACAAATTAACATACATAGTAAACTTTGACCCTACTTCCTTCACGGAGGCAGGTCTCAGGCAAATGTAGGTTAAGTGGATCTGGAAGGACTGACTACAAGCAGGATGAATTGTTAAGCATACATTCGGTTTTGAACATATTCAGAGTTTTAAAAAAAGGCTACTGTTTTAGCCAGTTTTGTGTTTTGCATACAACTTGTTTTAGTACACATCTACACTTTACATGCAGAAAAAACCTCTCTGGCCAAGCAATACTAGCTTTAGCCAAGAACAGGTTTATGGAGCCAAAGCACTTGAGTTAATAAGGGTACAAAGTGCATATGGGGTAAGAGCTGATGGCTAGTGCTACCCACAGTGAGATGAATGATCCTGTAAGGAGTGCACCACTGAGCATTCAATGGTGATGTCTACTGACCTCAAAGAGGAAGAGTAGGGAGCTAAAATCATCAATGTTGCTGCCTCAGCCATAATGGCTTAGCCAGTAGAATCAGGGACCAATGACCAAAGCATGTCTCCCTGTATCCATTCCTCTTAGGAGTGTTTGAATGCAAGTCTCCAGGAAGAGCAGAGAATGGGGTAAAGCCATCCTCTTATTTCTTCTTTAATTTTCTGAATAAGAGTTTGCCTGTAATCAAGGCAAAAAGAAGGCTATGTCGCAGTCCTGGTCCTGTAATAAGTAAAGTCAGGCAGTTAAAAGTAAAGGGACAAAGATATGGATGAAATAGGAGGACACCTTAAAACTAGAAATCTAGAAGTAGAGTATGTACAAAACAGACACCTACTAGGTTTTAAGAGCTAGTCTAGTACAAAGGAAGTGCAGAGAAAACAAGCTCATTGTTGGTATTAAGGACTAAGAAAAAAATTGAGGTTGAGCTGCTGGTAAGATAACTGCAACAATCCAGGGAGAAACTGTCATCCACGTAATGGATATAATTAAGCCATGTTAGCTAAGAGACCAAGGTGAAGATGAAGAAAAAGATTGCAGAGTATATACAGTATGATCTTTCTAAAAGAAATTGTGTTTTAAGAATTGTTTCTGTACAGAAAAAAAGTCTGAAAATTGTTAACAGTGGCCATTCTAGGGAACGGAATTGGAGAGCAAATTCTTAAATTCATGTTTCTGTATACGTTGACTTTTCTGCAGTGAGATAGTATTACTTCTTGAATTTTATTTTTATTAAGATTTCAAAAGTTTAAACATTTATAAGAAAAGGCAGGTGACTGCCCCAACTAGATGAATAGGACAAAGGATAATAGGACAAAGGATAATAAGAATAGTCATCTCTCAAGTACACCCTGAGACCTAGGTTCTGTGCTAAGTACTTCAGAGAAGTTCTCAAATTCCAACAAATTTCTGGGATAGGCAGTATACCCATTCTACAATTGTGAAAACTGAAACTTAGAAAAGACACACAACTTATTCAAGGCTGCAAAACGAGTTGGATTTGACCTGAATCTGACCCCAAAGCCAATATTCTATACTGTGAGGAATCACAGATGACTCCAAGGTTTCAGTAGAGGTGTTTCACTAGTATATGACCACCTCAAAATCTTTGGTCTTATCTCTATTAGATAGTAGCTTCATTCATAACAAAAGAAATATAACAAATAAAAATTCACTGTTAGTTAAGTATAAAATTCTCTTACTGACCTTCAATATTCCTGTTAGGTAGAAACCTATTACAATTTTGTGGTTTTTCTCCAAGATCCAAATAAAAGAGGTAATTCCATATTTCAATTATTTTGATTTTATGCTGTACCTTCTCACACGTAAATAACCCAGCCCTTATGTATACTTAAACACTTATTTTCATTCCACGGAGCTAAAGTTCATGATTTTATCCTCTTGTCTCTTTTGTACCATTCCTAAATACTACTGCAGCACACAACTCAATGAATACACTTGGACGGCTACACCGATACCTATGATATGTGCAAGAACCTCAAGAGATTGCTAATTCACTATAAATCAAGATTTTGTTAACAGGACAACCAAAGTACATAAAATAATGAGATAGAAAAAAAGTACATCAAAATCTTCTTTGAAATTTTTGAAAACACTGGCATAAAACAGCATAAAAATTATTCATAAAGGTACTAGACTTCTTTTGCATATTGAATCTTAATGTCTTGCTTTATTTTTCAGTGTTATTGAAGACTTCCTAACAATTGTCTATCTGCTGAGGAAATTCCAGATTTCTAAACAAAGACATTAGGTGGCTCCATATGAAACTGCAAATATTCTACCAATTTTGACCTATAAAACTAGCAATTTCATATGGTTTAACCTACTTCAGAAGTAGGTAAAAGAAGGTGGAGATTAAAAGGAAAGATCCACCTTGAAGACATCAGAGTTTTCTTTTAAGACTCCAAAGTTATGGTTAAGAGTGGAAAGTATAACATTTTAATAACTGATGTTGTCAAGAAATAATGTTGGTCTATGAGAAGTTTCTAACACATATTTTCCATGGCCCAAAAGCAAACATAAAACTTCTATCCAATTCAAGTGCCCTCTTTCTTTCCTTTCCAATTATTTAAGAAAGAATCCACTATCAAACCTTCAACTTTTTCTGTCAGTTCATCCCGCTCCCCGCCCCAACAGTTTACATTGTGTGCAGACATCGCTCCAGTAACTGTGCTTTCCATTTAATCCAGTAATAAGCCAACTGTCCTCTACTGGCCTCGCAGGGTTCCATGGAAATCCAGGGTCTTCCATTCCGCCTGCATCACTTACACTTGCACCAAGACAGGCGTCCAAACCCCGGGGAGGGCGGCGGACAGGTGCGCCCGCAAACGCGCGGCGAGACTCCGGCATCGCTTTCCCATTTCGGGCCTCTGCTTCCTCCCTACGAAATCGGGCGTGGAGATGTCCAAGCCCTTTAGAGCCCTAGGAGTGCAGTCTCCTAGTCCCTCCCTTTGTTTCTGGCCATGGCTGAATTCTAGACGCGGAAGGCAGGCTTTCCAGACAACTAGACAGAGCGAAGGGAGAAAGGAAGCCAGAGCCCTTCTCCATCCGCGGCCGGGCCCCCTCCTCACTCACCTGCTGGGTGGGAAACCCGGCCAGGCCGAGCTCCGGCCCTCTCAGGGTCTGCCCCTCCATCTTCGGCGCAAACAGCTGGGCCGTCACCACTCCTCCGAAGGGAAGATTTGAAAAGCCCGCCTCTGGCCGCAGCCGCACGGGACGCCAACCGCCCGGCCGTACCAAGTCGGGGCCGCAGGGGTAGGGGCGCAGGGAACGCGAGCCGGCGCGCGCACGCGCGGTGAACGCCTCGCGCCCCCCGGCTCCCTACGCCGGAAGTGCCGGGAGACCCGCTTCACAGTGCGGGCCAGGCGGGGAGGTGGAGAGTCCGGGGCAGACTTAAGGCCCTCACGGAGATGTGGGCGGGGCCGCGGGGGGGCGTCGGCGGCTAAGCGCGCGTCACCAGCGCCGGGTTCAGGCTGGTGGTTTTCGCGGCCGCCCTTTGTGCTAGGAGCCTTCTGTCTGCATCCCACCGAAGGCGCTCCGAAGTGCTCAGGAGGTGGACAGACTCCGGCTGCAGCAGTCCCTGGACCCCCACAGACAACTCAGGAACACACGGTGTCACTAGGAGCCCACGGTCTTGCCCCCAGAGAACCAAGTGGCATTGCTCGCAAACGTAGCGCTCTCTCACAGCACAGTCTGTCACCCAGGGTCACCCAGAGATCTTGGCTTTGTTAATCGGGTTCGTGAGACACCGTGCCAGGCATTTCACAAAGTCTTGTCTTGTTCTTTATAATCCCAGATGCTCCCCAGCCACCGCGGCAACTACTCTGTACTTTCTGGCAAAGGACTCTTTTCATATTTCTCTCTGTCTCTCTCATTTACCCACCAACATCCAAGGGGACAGCAAAATGGGTTACTACTTCTCAAGGGCCTCATTTCTTGCTGCCCCTAAAGATTAGTACAAAAACAATTAAAAGTTTTTGTTTTTTATTTATCATAATGAGAATGTATGGGTTTTTAAAGATCAAAATTGAAGTGGCAAAGATTTCAGGCTCTATAAAGTCCTTAAAATCCATTGTCCCGAGCTTACCTTGACTTCCCCTTGAAAAAGCAACAAGAAGCCTCTTTGGGCTTCCGACATTTTTTCTCCTGAGGGGAAGAGTCTACCAAATCAACTCTCCTACCCTCACTTCCTAGAAAGCCTTGGGCACGTTTCCTCCATAAATAGAGTGACCATATTTTTTATTGCCTGAGACAGTCCTTGTTTGAGCTGTTGTCCCAATGTCCCACCAATCTTGCACTTGTCTCAAAGTGGATATTAAATTATATGGTCATCTACTTCACAAGGTCTTTTTTAAAGAAGTTGGTTTGAAAATGTACTTTAAAAATATATTAGGTGCCCTTCCTCTCAAATGAGTAATTTGCTTTTTGGACTAAGTGATACTAAACACTGCCCAGTTAGGGATGATGCCTCACATTAGGAATGACCCGTATCTTTACACAGAACCATAAAATATGCGGTGCTCAAAATTACCAACACAGATCTGAATTCCAGTGTCATTAGGTGCCCATTCCCCCGGTACACACGTCTCTGTTATGCTCCCACTTTGTGGTGTAATTACCCCCCATTCAGTGTGAGCTGCATGAGCCCAGTCATAGTACCTGACTCATAAAGGACATACGCACAGAGAGCTCATCATCAGATATACGGTATTTATCATATAACTCAGCTCTCAGCCTCAGATCAAAATACATGTGGAAGCTAGCACTTCATTAAAACAGGGGCAAGCCAACCAATTTAAAATTGGACACTGATGTAGGGATATTTGATGAATGAATACTGGGTATATAACCAGAGATGCAAAATAATACTAGAAGGAAGAAAAAGGCCATATTTAGTAATTATTTGTAGAATACAGACAATTGCTATTAAAGACTTTTCTCTTTGAAGAAGAAGATATGATGTGGTCCTATGTTTTTATTATTCCTCAAGGGATGTGCCCAGGAAGTGCTTACTTGTTTAACTATTATCTGGTGATTAAAATACCTGAGTGCAGGACTTCTGTTTCCTTATTTATCCCCAGGTCCTTTCTTGTCACTGTTAGTTGCATCTTTTCTCTGGAGTATGTAATGTACAAAAAAAGTAGAATCATCCATGGAAACTACCAAAAAGTTGGAGTTTACATGTAGTAGTTTGATTAGCTTGAGAGTTTATCATCTATTTATCTATCTATCTATGTATCTTAAAGTTCCCAGAAAGCAAGAAGTACTACTTTTTACCATCTGAAATATTTGAGCGATAGCATTTGGGCATCTCCATCTCTTACCCCACCCTCCTTTGGCTCGCACAGAAGGCTGATACCCACCCAACTGCGCAGATGTAGTAGCTTGGTTGAGCAATGGAATTACTGTCTACCAATATTACTTCCCATTATAAGGCCAATATTTGATACTAATTATAAAATAGATATTAGTTATATAAAATATAACAGTGTTTAATAATTAATTAATTAAATAGAAAAATAAGTGTTTGGCATAGAGAAGCCAATTTAGATAATACTAATAAATGTTAAAGTGTATTTTTCTTCTCTTATTCCCTGTATTCCTCTCTTTAACTCTCTAAGAAGCTAAAGGAAAGGAAAATATCGAACTTAAAATCAGCTCTCTCTCTTACATAACAGACTTATTATTTTTTAAAATGTGATTTGACACACAACAGGTAACTTGTGATTTCTAATAGCCTCCTATCCTCTCATAAAAAAATTCTCTTGGTACTTTTTTTTACTCATCTGTTCATCTTGTAGGTAATGTTTTAGAATGAACTTCCCAGACTAGAGCTGTATTTTGACTTGTATGGGGGGGGGGGGGACTGAGCTAAAGATGTTAAGCAGAGGCACAGCATTTTCTTAAATGAATGGATCATAATCTAAGAATAGCCGAGCATCCTATAATTATAAGGAGGATATGGAATGTGGAGTCTGAGGATTTATTAGCCCAATGGCCTTGGGCAAGCTACTCAGTTTTCTTATCTACAAAACAAGAATAATAATATCCATCTTGTTTTTAAAAGTTGTTGAGACTCAGATAAGATTTGTGACAGTGTTTTGTAAACTAGTTGTCCCATGAAAACATGAGCCATTACTACTGTAGGAAGAAAACATCAGTAGTGAGAGGCAACAGTAGTGATAGGACCTGCAGAACTCTGAGAACTGAATGAGAAAAGCTTATGTGAATAGGATGTATTCAAAATATGTCACTTGCTGCTGTCAAGTAATACCTATAGTTAATGTAAAGAGCTCCTACAAATCAATAAAAATCCTATTGGAAAATGGTCAAAAGGTATGGTAGGCATATTAGAGGACAGTAAACCGAAACAGCAAATGAAATGTGAAAGGTTGCTCAACCCTGTTATCATTCTAGAAACTCCAGATTAAGACCCCAAGAAGATATTTTACAGTCACTAGATTGATAAATATTAAAAAGTTTGAGCCGGGCACGGTGGCTCACTCCTGTAATCCTAGCACTCTGGGAGGCTGAGATGGGTGGATTGCTTGAGCTCAGGAGTTCGAGACCAGCCTGAGCAAGAGCGAGACCCTGTCTCTACGAAAAATAGAAAAAGAATTACTCGGACAACTAAATATAGAAACAAAAAATTAGCCGGGCGTGATGGCTTGCACTTGTACTCCCAGCTGCTTGGGAGGCTGAGGCAGGAGGATCGCTTGAGCCCAGGAGTTTGAGATTGCTGTGAGCTAGGCTGATGCCACAGCACTCTAGCCCAGGCAACAGAGTGAGACTCTGTCTCAAAAAAAAAAAAAGAAGAGCATTTTGGTCTGCAGTAGGCATGCATGCATTATTCACAAATAGGAAGAGGGCTGGGGTCTGAGAGCCTTGTCCCCACAGGTGAGGCCGGCAGGCCCATGTTCTGGTCGGTGCCTGACCCTGGCACCGTGCTGGGATTGGGA